AAAAAAAAAAAAAAAAAAAAAAAAAAGAAAAGACATATGGGACGCTCTGAATGAACTTTGAAAACACTGTGCCGGATGAAAGATACCAGTCACAAAAACCACATATTGTATGATTCCATCTGTATGGAATGTCCAGAACAGGCAAGTCTATTGAGGCACAAAATAGATTAGTGGTTGCCAGGGGCTGGGAGGGTTGAGAGGAAATAAAGAATGACTGCTAATGAGATTCCTTGAGGCTAATGAAAATGTTCTAAAATCGACTGTTGTACAACACTGTGAATATACTGAAAACCATCCAGTAGAACACTTTAAATGGCTGGATTGCATGGTATATGAATTTTATCTCAGTAAAGCTGTTAAAAAACAATAACTCATGCCAGAAATAATTTCAGCCGGAAATTGGGGAAAGAAAAGTTAATGGGAGCTGGGAAAAGTAAGGCGGCATGTGTGAGAATTGGGAGAAGTTTGTTTGCGAATCACAAGTGATGGGAGATTTGGGGAAGTTTTTGGTTTTGCTGACAAGGCAAAGAAGAGAGCCATATGAAGACCGCTTTTGGAGGGACCCAATGGAGAGGACAAAGGTGAAGTCATAGGAGAGAAAGGAGAAGACTGGTGGGGCAAGGCCACTGGTGGACAGGCATGGGATCTAGGGCCCATTTTTAGGACCTTGATTTTAAAGAGATGAGAACTTTCTCCATGGGTCAGTAAGGAAGGGAAAATGGATGCACAAGCTGTCAGCAATGTGCTGGAGCTCTGAGTGTGAAAATTATTTACTCAGCTCTAATTTAGAAAACTATGCATAATCCCTGCCATCCCATCAAGGCCATCTTGCCAGGCACTCCAGGTGCTGGTTATTCTCCATTGGTGCCCTGCCAACCTACTCCCCACTCTTCCCTGCCCTGCTCTGTGTAGAGTGGGGCTCCCTTATTCTCTGCCTTCCAGTTGGGTTTGGCCTGATTGGATGCACCAGCAGAAGATAGGAGAGCGGTAGGAGAGAAGCTCGGGTAGTTCTTCCCACTCTCTCCCTGCATAAAGGCTGCATCTCCGGGAGAGCCCTTCCACATGGCTCCAGCTTTCACTGGGCTCTGAGAGCACTCTTTCCTTCCACAGTCCCTTTAGCCCCAGCAGTGCTAGTGACTTTCCACCACTGGGACTGCTAGGGTATCTCACCCTACTAGAATCTTCACTGACATTGTCCCGTATGCAATGTCCTCAGCTCCATCCTAGTGCCTGAACCCTGATCAATAACATCTGCAAAAAAACAGATTTCCTTGATCTTAGATGATTTGGGCCATTCCAGATAATCATGACAACTCCCACTGCCATCGATGCCAAGGATAAGCTACTTTTTTTTTTTTTTTTGTAGAGACAGAGTCTCACTTTTTCGCCCTCGGTAGAGTGCAGTGGAGTCACTCCAGCAACCTCCAACTCCTGGGCTTAGG